ATGAATGGACTATAAGGTAGATAGAAAGCTGGCTAGATCGTCGGGCTCAACGGGTAGTGATCAATGGCTCCATGTCTAGTTGGCAACCGGTTTCAAGCGGAGTGCCCCAAGGGTCAGTCCTGGGGCCGGTTTGTTCAATATCTTCATTAATGATCTGGAAGATGGCGTGGACTGCACTCTCAGCAAGTTTGCAGATGACACTAAACTGGGAGGAGTGGTAGATACGCTGGAGGATAGGGATAGGATACAGAGGGACCTAGACAAATTAGAGGATTGGGCCAAAAGGAACCTGATGAGGTTCAACAAGGACAAATGCAGAGTCCTGCACTTAGCACGGAAGAATCCCATTCACTGTTACAGACTAGGGACCGAATGGCTAGGAAGCAGTTCTGCAGAAAAGGACCTAGGGGTTACAGTGGACGAGAAGCTGGATATGATTCAACAGTGTGCCCTTGTTGCCAAGAAGGCTAATGGCATTTTGAGCTGTATAAGTAGGGGCATTGCCAGCAGATCGAGGGACGTGATCATTCCCCTCTATTCAACATTGGTGAGGCCTCATCTGGAGTACTGTGTCCAGTTTTGGGCCCCACACTACAAGAAGGGTGTGGAAAAATTGGAAAGAGTCCAGCGGAGGGCAACAAAAATGATTAGGGGGCTGGAGCACATGACTTATGAGGAGAGGCTGAGGGAACTGGGATTGTTTAGTCTGCAGAAGAGAAGAATGAGGGGGGATTTGATAGCTGCTTTCAACTACCTGAAAGGGGGTTCCAAAGAGGATGGATCTAGACTGTTCTCAGTGGTGGCAGATGACAGAACAAGGAGCAATGGTCTCAAGTTGCAGTGGGGAAGATTTAGGTTGGATATTAGGAAACACTATTTCACTAGGAGGGTGGTGACGCACTGGAATGGGTTACCTAGGCAGGTGGTGGAATCTCCTTCCTTAGAGGTTTTTAAGGTCAGGCTTGACAAAGCCCTGGCTGGGATGATTTAGTTGGGAATTGGTCCTGCTTTGAGCAGGGGGTTGGACTAGATGACCTCTTGAGGTCCCTTCCAACCCTGATATTCTAGGATTCTATGATTCTATGATATGTGCAAAGACCTCAGATCCCTGCACTGTGGATTGGACTTGTACCTGCCCACAAGACAGCTTCTTCACTCGGCCCAAGCAAGTCAAAGGCATTCCCAGTGTTTCATGCTGATTCGGGTTGTGATGCAGCATCTGCTTTTTCTGGAAGAGGAAAGAAATCTCCATGGGTGCCCCGACAGGCATCTGTCCCCTGTTTCCATGAGTTTGTCTGCTGCACCACAGTTTATGGCGGATGGAACGATGTCTCTGCTGCAGTGCCTAGTGGTGCCTCTGCACGACAGGACAAGTGGCACAAATGCTGCTGGTGTGGCCCACAAGAGGCTCTTGAGACAAGGGCAGAGCTATGGAATCCCTCCACTGACCAAACCTGCTCTGGTTCAGCACAGTGGGCGAGCTGCATACCAAGCAGGACGCTGCTGGGGTCAAACTCCTGAGCTCCCCTCCCCCAAGGAATGGAGATGGCTGGGGGGCACTGAGGGATGGAGCCCACTGTGGACAACCCTCCCGGAAGCACAGGATTATTGTCGTGAACTCCTAAGATGGGGCTGCAAAATGGGGTGCCAGGCAAGGTGCAAGCATGGCAAGGCAGCACTGAGCCCTTGTGGTGGGGAATGTGATGTTTGAACATACCGAAGACTGTGAAAGAGACTTTCTTGTTTCTTATTTGTTTTAGGCTGCCTATTTACGTACACTGCCTTTTCAACCTTTGAGACACAGCGATATCCTGCTATACCAAGATCAGTCGGAAATATTGTTATTGGCAAGGAGAAATGTAACTTTCAGTTTGTGAACAGAAACTTGTCAATGTTCTGTGTTATTTTTCTATATAACTAATATTTTAGTAAATATTCCCTGGTGACACGCTACAGAGCATGTACTGAAATATCAAGAACTAACAATCTCAAGCCATTGCAATTCATTGCTTTCATTTTCAGGACACCTAAGACAATAGGAGTATAAATGTACAAAAATAAAACCGCACTGGGATGGTTTAATTCCATAAACGATCAGTATCAGAAAAATAGCAAGTAGGAAAAAAAATGAATTCTGAATTTAAAATGGCTGCCACAGCCAACATGGCATGAGTTGGTGATGACTATCTGAAGATCTTTATTAGGTCATGCCCTAAGGTTATGGCAAATTTCACGCTTTTATCAAAAATCCACAATTTTTTTAGAAATCTGATTGGCTTTGGGGCCCCAATTCAGCAAGGCGCTTAAGCCCATGCCTGAGAACGAGTTGGCCCATTGGAATCCATGCCTGGGGAGGTTAGTAAATGGGAAAGGGTTCAAACAGAAGCTGCAAGGATGATTCTAGGTCTGGAAAAGACTGAAGCACTCAGTTTGTTTCATTTACCCAAAAGAAGCTTAAGAGGTGACTCGATGATGATCTATTGTGAGTTTCTGAAAGTCAAAAGCTCTTGAATCTAGGAGACAAAGGCAGAGCGAGCTCCAGGGGCTGGAAGCTGAAGCTAGACAATTTCAGACCAGACATACGGTGCAGTTTTCTTAATAGGAGGATAATTAAACATTGAAACAACTTACCCACCCCCTCTCTCTAAGCTTCAGCACCCGAGCTTCAGCCCCAACTTCAAAGCACTGTCTCTACAGCTATGAGCCCCACTAGCCCAAGTCTGTTGACCCGGACCAGGAGGCTTACTCCAAAACGCTGTGTAGATGGACCCATACGGACAGTAGGGTCTGAGGCCGAAGGAAGGGCGATAGTAACTGCCATGAGGCTGTGCACTTGCTTAACTCAGCTCATGGTGGTTCTGCATTTTCAAAATGGGTTTGATACCATTTCTGTCAAGGGATGAGGAGGGTCAAGTGGGTTCCCGAGGGAGGAGTTTTAAGGAGACACTTGGAGGAAGACAGTGAGAGGAAAAATGTACCGCCCCAATATTCAAACTACAGCTTCTTGACACAGCTCTGGCAGAGAGCTCGAGTGTGACACCTGGCATGGACATAAGCCATTTTCAGTCCTCTGTGGGGGCTTTCCTTGTTTGGGTTTGATTTAGCAAAATGATAGCTTACAACTGCTGGAAAATTCTGTATTGAATACAATGTAGAAAATATTATGGCTACGGGCGCCACTTGGGGCCTGCAACTCTCTCATGTGAGCAGTTTCATTTCACGTTTTACTTGCATGCGTAAAGGATGCAGGATCGGGCCCTTTCAGGCTGATTAGGCCTCAACTGGAGTATTGTGTCCGGTTCTGGGAGCCACATTTCAGGAAGGATGTGGACAAATTGGAGAGAGTCCAGAGAAGAGCAACTAAAAGGATTAAAGGTCTAGAAAACATGACCTATGCGGGAAGATTGAAAAAATTGGGTTTGTTTATTCTGGAAATGAGAAGACTGAGAGGGGACATGATAACCATTTTCAAGTACATAAAAGGTTGTTACAAGGAGGAGGGAGAAGAATTGTTGTTCTTAACCTCTGAGGATAGGACAAGAAGCAATGGGCATAATTGCAGCAGGGAGGTTTAGGTTGGACATTAAGAAAAACTTCCTGTCAAGGTGGTTAAGCATTGGAATAAATTGCCTAGGGAGGTTGTGGAATCTCCGTCATTTTGAGATTTTTAAGAGCAGGTTAAACAAACACCTGTCAGGGATGGTCTAAATAATTCTTAGTCCTGCCATGAGTGCAGGGGACTGGACTAAATGACCTCTTGAGGTCACTTCCAGTCCTATGAGTCTATGATGGTTGGAGATGTAACTATCTAACCTTCATGCAGTATTAAGGTAGGTTTTTAAAGACTTTATGGCCCAAAGTTTCTACTGTGGCTGAGATCCATGTAGCACTGGGGATCTATTAGGGGGTCCTGATAAAGCACCGGATTTTCTGAGCTGATGAGCACAGACCCCATCACAAAGCCTCCCTCTTTGGATAGCACCTCACTGGAGTTACCACTACTTAGCATTTTCTGTTCTGGTCCTGAATCCATGACATTGATTGGGGACAGATATATAAATTGGCGCATCTCCATTGCAGTCAATACTGATACAAACTAGGGATCTGGCTCTATCTGTAGAAGCTCAGTTTCTCTGCAAGCTTTGGAAAGCTCTGATACGGGGTTGAGGTGTCGTACAATCACACCCCTTATGACACCCCAACCCTGTATCAATCACACCCTGTACGGCACCCAACCATAACAGCCACTGGTCTGATGAAATGTGAATCCTTGGGAAGGACCCTGGCTGGCCAAGCCAGGCCTAAGCGCTATGCAGGGGGAGGGATCACATTTCCTGGGACCAGACTACTGGGGCAGAGAGTGTTAACGCTTTGCTTACATATACTGTTGCTTGTAGTTTTTGCCGACGTCAGGGGATCGAATCTTCTGCACTAACATTCGGATCACATTCAGGAATATGAGGAAGTTCATCTTGCAAAAGGAAGAGAAGGTTTGTCTCAGCCTCAAAATAGAACTGACCACCCAACGACATTCCAGAACCCACAGGGCTGGACTCCTCCATCTCCCTGCAGGCATCCCAACCTCCCAGGCACGCTGCCCGTCCCTTCTCACGCCACTCGCCTGGCAACCCACGCGTTTACAAAGTAAGACACGGCATACTCACAAAGATGGCAAAGAGAATGGGAGCCTTGATCACCCACCAGTACAGACTGGCATAGTCATCCCAACACCTAGGAGAGAGCAGGGAAAGCGCAGAAGCATTACCAACTCATTGTGCTTTTGCTCCCTGCGGCAGGGGTTCCGTGCGATTTTGGAGCTAACATTGGCACTCATGTGGGTCTGGATGCCTCGGGTGCTGCTGACGAGCTACAGAGCCTTTCAGCTGTCAGTCACCAGCCCGAATCCAGTCCAGCTCAGGAACTGTGAGCAGCTGTTCCCAACTAATGGCTGTTTGGTGGCCCCGTATGCGTCTGACAACTCACAGCCTTATCCATCATGTTGCAAAGTCGCCACCACATTTTGCACATCTGTAAGCTCTTCAGGGCAGGGACTGTCTGTGTCTGTGTGTGCACATGTGAGATCTGTGTTGGGTCCTACAGTGAGACCTCCTGCAGTGGGAGCCACAGTTGCCTTGCACACTATCCATTGTGAGTTGGTGGTGGAGTAACTGTCACACACACAGGAGGGGAGGGGGGAGTTCAAAACTCAGACAGAGCAAAACACACAAGTGAGTCTTCGTTAAAAACCTCACCATTTTTTAGCCAATCTCGTGATTTGGGAGGGTGGGAGGGGGAAGAGAGGGCTCCACTCATTATGATGCTGTCGACACTTGGGAAGGTCCCTCCTAGCCCAGCCCAGGACAACTAGGAACATTAGAGAGGCAAGAAAAATGAAACACGGCGAGCGGTCACAAAGTGGTAGAGAGGGAAGGGTGGAGCCTGCAATGAGTGGGGGAAGGGTCAGGGAGATGAGCGTGGTCACCACTGGAAATGGGCTGGGAGGTGGGCATGGCCATCTAGCTAAACTTCTGGGAGAGTCATGTCATTTTCACATTGCCAATTTTTTCACCACAAAACCAGAGGTTCGGGTGTGAAAAGGCAGCGCAGCCCACTGGGAAAGCAACATGGGGCCAGTCCATTATCAGTACTGCTTAGGGTTTGCCTACGCAGGGAAACGGACCGGCATTGCTATAGCAGAAGAGCTATTAGTCCTTCTCAGGCTCCCTTCTTCTCAAAAGTCACTAGTGGATCCCCACAACCCCCCGCGAGGTAGGCCAGCGTTAGCCCTGCTGTACAGGGCCCGGGTCTGCTTTTCAGGGAAGCCCCTTGACACTGCACTGGCACTTCAATTCATTCTCATGTGGCCAGGGCCGGCTCCAGGCACCAGCCTAGCAAGCAGGTGCCTGGGGCGGCCAATGAAGAGGGGCAGCACGTCCAGTCCTTTCGGCGGCGGGGCCGTCACTCCCTTTGGGAGCAAAGGACCTGCCGCCGAATTGCCGCCGTAAAATGAAGTGGTGGTAGAGCTGCCGCCGCGATCGCGGCTTTTTTTTTTTTTTTTTGGCGCTGCTTGGGGTGGCAAAAATGCTAGAGCCAGCCCTGCATGTGGCCAGCACGGCATAAAGGGGCCTGAGACTACATGAGAACCCAGCCCAGCAAGTTTAAATGAGTGCCCATGTTCTAGCCACAAAGCTTTGCAACTCTTCGAGGCTGGGACGCTGTCCCCCAGTGCCCATCGTGAGGGGGCCTGATCCTGACTGGGGCCTGTGGACACCACCAGAACAGAAAATAGACAATAAAGCAGCGTTGTCCCTCTCTCCTCCCCTCTTTTGTTCTGCCAGTCAGTTTGGGCAGCCCCAGGGTCCATGGTCGCTCTGGGGTGGCAGGAGCCCATAGTGAAATGCTGGCCCCATTGAAGTCTGTTAAAGCCCTCACTGACTTCAGTGGTGTGTCTACACTGCACCTGGCAGAAAGCCTCCCAGCCTGGGCCCACAGGTTCACATTAGTGCTCTAAGAATAGCTGTCTAGGTGCTGCGGCTCAGGCTCCAAAGCCTTGGGGGGGAGGGGGGGGAGGAGGTGTCAGAGCCCAAGCTCCAGCCTGAGCCATGTCCAAGCAACGCTTACACAGCTATTTTTAGAGCGCTTGGACTAGCCCCAGATCTCAGACCTGGGCTGGGAGGTTATCCAGCAAGACCAGGATCTCATGTGCAGGATTTAGAAACCTTGGCATGGTCTCTGAAATGCTGGATCAGGCTGGGGGGTCTTGGGGGACATTCCCTTTGACAATGGAAATCAGTTTTTAGCTGTCGGAGCAGGAAACCCCCCTGGATTAGCTGTTGGAGCAGCACCCCCCACCCCTGGGGTGTGTAATGGCTGCTCTCTAGACCTGGAGGCTCCATGTCGCTCATCTGCCCCACAGGACCTGAGCTCATTGGGGACGCACAGGTTTTAATGACGCCCCTAGATAAAGGGGCTGGGGGATGGGCAGTTCTTACCCATGGTTGTCGTATTGTAGCCGGGCGAAGATCCACAAGCTCACAATGAGCATAGGGACACCTGCAAGGAAAGAGGCCAGTTGTTCTCCCACAGGATGGCAGAGTCCTATTGTGACTGAAGGAGGGAGCTTCCATTCTCCCCCCCCCCAGCATGGATAACAGATCCTGGCAAATCCACAGCACTTCCATCTCCAATGGGAGAGAGTCTCTCCTGCCCCTCTCTGCCCACCACAGACCTGGTGTCAGGGAAATTGATGCTCAGGGGATGCTTCCCACGCTGCTCAAAGCTTGAACCTCTTGGTGTGGAGCGTGGGACACGGTGTGGCATTCGTGGGCAGGATGATGTGGAATCATAGAATATCAGGGGTGGAAGGGACCTAAGGAAGTCATCTAGTCCAACCCCCTACTCAAAGCAGGACCAATTCCCAACTAAATCATCCCAGCCAGGGCTTTGTCAAGCCGGGCCTTAAAAACCTCTAAGGATGGAGATTCCACCACCTCCCTAGGTAGCCCCTTCCAGTGCTTCACCACCCTCCTAGTGAAAAAGTTTTTCTTAATATCCAACCTAGACCTCCCCCACTGCAACTTGAGACCATACTCCTTGTTCTGTCATCTGCCACCACTGAGAACAGTCTAGCTCCATCCTCTTTGGGGGGATAGCTCAGTGGTTTGAGCATTGGCCTACTGAACCCAGAGTTATGAGTTCAATCCTTGAGGGGGCCACTTAGGGATCTGGGGCAAAAATATGTCTGGGGATTGATCCTACATTGAGCAGGGGGTTGGACTAGATGACCTCCTGAGGTCCCTTCCAACCTTGATATTCTGTGATTCTTTGGAACCCCCTTTTGGGTAGTTGAAAGCAGCTATCAAATCTCCCCTCATTCTTCTCTTCTGCAGACTAAATAATCCCAGTTCCCTCAGCCTCTCCTCATAATTCATGTGCTCCAGGAGGTACACTCTTCCTGCTGACGGCTGTGCCAACCGCTGGAGAGCTGGCAGAAGAGGTTCACGATGCCAGGCAGCCACCACCCAATCAAAAAAAGGCAGCAATACATGGACTCATACATGACAGTATGGTCCAGTGGTTAGAGCAGGAAGCTGGGACTTTGGGGAGGGTTGTCCCACTGACTTGTCATGAGACTCATTGCTGAACCACTCTGTGCCTGTCTTACCACCTGATCCAGTATGAGGTACCTAACCCTGGCCCTGCCCACAGCTCCTGGCTCTGATCCCAGCAGCTGCAGCTGCTCCTGCTAGAATCTGCATGCTCCTCTGTCCATGATAGTGAACATGGGATCCATCTATCCATCCACATACACTCCCATCCGTCTACTCTGATCTTCCTTTGTGAAGCATGTTGAGATCTTCAGATGGTTGGTGGCTGAAAAATCTGCAATATTTTCATCTGTCCTGTCCCCCCCGTGACCCTGCCCTATACACAGGCCCTTGATGTACTACATCCCCTCCAGCAGCATCTGGGTCCTTTGTTGTGCTGGGTCAGGAGTGGGACTTGAAGTTTTTAGAACAAAAGGTTTTTTTCATTGAAAAAACAGCCTTTTACCGAATTTTTAGTGATAGACTGTCACCATTAGCTACACTGTCTAGTTTGCATGACAATTTTAGTAACTTCTTTGTCTACGCTTTTTTCAAAATCATCATGGACATTTTTCATTTACCAGTTCTTTAACAAACGAAATATTTCAATAACAATTTCTATCAAAATGTCAATACAAAAATGTCATGAAAAACAAAAAGTGGGCCCATTTTAGACTCCCTGCAGCAAAACCAACTTCAGCTCCAGTCAGTGGGGTTGGCCCACACCCAGCCCACCCTGTGAAAATAACAGTCAACCTAAAGAAAGGTGGGCTCTCTCCAGAAGGACTAACTCTGCAGAGAACTCATACGTTATGGCAGCATCCAGGGGCCCCAGTTGCTAGATGGTTTACAAACATCTTTGCCCCAAAGATCCGGGGCGAAATCCTGGCTCAGTTGAAACCAATGACAGAACACCAGTTGTTCTATGTTAGATAATTACATGCCCCCACAATTAACAGTCTTTATACAAAGCAACAGAGGGTCCTGTGGCACCTTTAAGACTAACAGAAGTATTGGGAGCATAAGCTTTCGTGGGTGAGATGCAAGTCTTGCATCTGAAGAAGTGAGGTTCTTACCCAGAAAGCTTA